GAGGGAGGGAGTCGCTTTCCACATGCTCCGGGAAACTCCTGGACTCTTTCCTCTCCATTTAAAGAACCATGAATTACAGCTCGCACCCAAAGAAACCTTGGATGGTTTCTGTTGAAACACAAAGGTCATCCTTTGTCTGCTTCCTGAAAACTGAGGGCTAAAATTAAAAGTATTCAACTGGTTGGGGGAGAGGATTAAAAAAAAAAAAAAAGAAAGTTGAATACTGGATGTCAAGCCATGAAACACTGGCTCCTCTCTGTAACGGTGGGTGTTACTGAGCGCTCTCTGGTTCTTTGCTTGCTGAATTTGCTTAGGACTGGACTAATAAATACATTTACATGTTCAGCGTGAGGAATTTTCAGTAGCCTCACCAATGACTATCTGCTGGAAATAACTGCTGTACAGGCAGCAGGGAACGGTGACATTTCCTACAGCTGGAGGACAGGAGACGGGTAGTTACTGCCTGTTTTGTGGTGACTGGAATGTGCTTCGTTTTCGGTGGCAGGACATGGAGGGGGGACACTGATGGAAAGACCTGCTGAGGTGCAGCTATCAGCCTCAAGAAAATTCAGCACAAACAGCTAAAAAAAAAAAATACTCGAGTTCATTTGCATGTAGCGCGAGTCGGCCAACCAGTAGCCAAAGGCGGAGAATAAACGCACACGTATTTACAAAAGCGCTGGACACCAGAAGTGACAATGAACCTCGGCCCAAGTTTGTGATCCAATCCTGGGAGTGCTGCAAGATCCACCCCCAAGCAGGCTCCCAGGAGTGCATGCAGGAGCTATATGGAATTTTGCATGGGTATGGTTATTTTTTTTCCTTTTTTTTTCTTTTTTCTTAAATAAATAAACTTCTCTGTGCTTCTTAAACTTCCCTGACTTTGCTGCTGTCACGCTCCTGGCCCACTTTCACACGTCTTCACTGCAGGGATGGGAATCACAGTCAAGCTCTGCAGAGGGGTTTTTTTTCCATTTAGCAAATTTAAAAATGAAGGCAATTAACCGATCTTTTAAAACCTTGGAATGAAAGTGTTCGAAACCTATTTACCCACGCATTTCGCAACAGAAACAGCTTATTTCTAATACTTCCAAAAATATATATAACGAATTGTTTCATCTGAGGACAGCAGCCAGAAAAACCAAGATGGTTCCAGAGATCTGATAGTATTCCTCTTGCCTTCCTGCAAGGGCAACGCTATTGCCAGTCCTGACGTACTATGTGAGCCTGTAAATAATGTACAAGATTTGCCCCTCTCGGAACTGGGGTGGGTTCATGGTTTTGGTGTTGTTTGGGGTTTTTTTTAATTATATTAACATGCATCTTCCACATTTCCTATCAGAGTCAGGAGGATGTAAATGCAGCTGCCATCTTTCAGCATCTAGTGACTGAGGATTTAGTGCCAGAGACCATCTCAAGCACGGAGCCACAGATGCCAGAGGTGCGTTTCCCTGCGTGTCAGGCAGTCCTAGCTGGGCAATTACAGTTCATGTTGAAAAGAGCCACTGGCAGAGATTATCTCTGGTGAATCCTGCCTTCCTTCCAGTAAGGAAAAAAAAAATAAATCTAGATTTGCTGATGCAAAGAAAAATAAATATAGTATTTAATAAAATAAAAAGTAAGGCCTCTTGTTACAGAAGTTGTCTTTAAAAAGCCAATTCCAAAAATATTCTGTGTGCTGAAGTGCACGCTGGTTAAAAAAAACATTAAAAAAAAAATTCTACCATTTGATTTTCCTATTTTTTTACATCTGTTTTCTTGCAGGAAGCTGAAATACTTATAGGTAAAGAGAATAAATAGGTGGAAAAAAATCAAATAGTGTTGTCTGTCAGCGTAAGTATTTATGTTGTAAGTCAAGCAAATGTGCCATGAAAAAAGTGCTTTCCTTTTGAAGGACGGCTGTCTGTTCCTTTGCAGGTAAGGAAAAAAAAAGCTTTACTGGAAAGGGAAACTGCCACTTGTTTCTTCACTTCTTACATGGAATATAGACAATCAGATGAATGCTTTACAAACTGAGGGCAGCCCATCTTGAGCCCAAATTACTCGCTTTCTCAGGAAAGTCTCATCCCCAGACAGCTAGCTTGAGCTGACAGAGGAAAATGGGCTCTCCCAGAAGAAACAGAATTGTCTGGATGGAACAGAACAGCAAGGCCATCGAGTCCAACCGTTAAACCCAGCAGGGCCAAGTTCACCACTAACCCATGTCCCACACACATCTCCACGGCTTTTACATCCCTCCAGGGATGGGGACTCCACCACTGCCCTGGGCAGCCTGTGCCAGTGCCTGAGAGCCCTTCTGCTGAAGACATTTTTCCTAATATCCAATCTATACCTCCCCTGGAGCAACTTAACGCCGTTTCCAGTTGTCTGGTTACTTGGGCACCTTCCCCAGTTACCTTCCTGACACAGCTGATGAGGGAGGGAGTCGCTTTCCACACACTCCAGGAACCTCCTGGGCTCTTTCCACTGTGTTGTATTTCCAGTAAACGTCTGAGAACTTGAAGACCCCTTCAGGAACAAGGGCAGGAGATAGTGAGACTTCTCCCAGCTGCTTACAGAATGTTTCGTCTACCTCTTCTTCCTCACTGGCTGGTCTGTAACAGACTCCCACCATGGTATTTGCCTTGTTGGCCTTTCCTCTGATTCTAACCCAGAAACACTCAACCCTATCATCGCCATCAAGTTCTAGACGGTCAAAACTGTTCCTCAAACACTGCTGTGCTATGCCCAGGCTTATCTCTAGTGAGCCTGGTTTTAGCCCTTCCCTCCTTCAAATCTAGTTTAAAGCTCTTTCTACAAGCCCTGCGAAATCCTGTGCCTTTCCCCCTTTGAGACAGGTGCACCCTGTGCGTTGCCTGTGTCAAGTGAACTGCCTCACGACCAAAAACCCCAAAATTCTGCTGGTGACACCAGGCTCAGAGCCAGGCATTGATCCTGTTTCTTCCCTCATCATTCCCTGCAACTGGAAGGACAGAAGAGGACACTACTGATCCCTTAACCAGTCCCCACGGCCCTGAAGTCTCTCTCGATTGCCATCAGACTTCTTGTTCCAACATCATCACTGACTACCTGAAAAATCACTAATGAACAGCCATCAGAGCGCCCTACCAGGGCCTGCTCCCGGCTCCCCCGGTTTGGGAAACTGGAGCTGCTCGCCTCGACATGTTATCTGGGGATCCAAAAATCAGACCTGTTGTGCTCCCCAGGAAATCAAGAGAGGTTAATTCATACTTAGCTGTGGTAGCTCGGAGAGCACTGCCTCCGGCTCTTGCCTCAGCCAAAGACACTGCGACGGACAGCGCGAGCGAGGCTGGGTTAGCTGGCAGCGTTAATGACAGCTGCAACACAAAGACTGTAATTAAATAAGAAGCCAAAGCCAAACAAGCTAATGGCCTAATTCAAAAATAGCCCAAGGATCCTTCATTCCTACTGGCAAAACATGAAGGTGGTTACTACCACAAACACTGCTTAGCCCTTTGCAGGACCAGGCCTAAACATGGAGATCTACAGCAGAAAGCTATTTTACTCTGGGTTGAATATTTATTTTTTTTTTGCTCACTAGGTGGATGTTGCTTCAATTGCTGCTCTGAAGGTCTTTGATTAGTTGTACTTTGATTAGTTGTACTACTAACATACAGCAACAAATACTCCATGCAAATGCTTTTTCCGAGTGAAGCCACACTGCATTTTTCTTCCAGAAACGAATAAATAAACCACAAATTGCGTACTTAAACCGTTCTGCTCCCTTACAGATCAGTTGACTCGTCAAGTGAATCCTGAGGCACCTCCAGGATTCCCTCTCTCCCAGCAGCTCAGAGCTGGTCAGCAGTGCTTGCTGTGCGCAGGACAGCAGGAAGCAGGCTGGCTCTAAATATTTCTGCAATCCACTCCGCGTTTCGACCCGTTTGCTCTCGCTCAGTGCAGAACTCCAGGTTTTAATTCGCTTTCCTCCGGAGCTGTCTGTTGCGCTGGCTTATGCACATCTTAAACTGGGGAAGTCGTCACTCCTTCACGTCGGCCTCAGCTTCCAGGACAGAACTCGGTGCCTAAAGGACGCTCACCTGCACATGAGGAGCCGAGAGCGCTGCGGATGCTACTAACCTTTCCCAGGAGCTACGAGACGACCAGGAGAGGCAGCAGCCTCAGAAGCGACAACTCCGTTCTGCCCTTCTCTACTCCTGCACACACTCAAGACGGCTCATCCCACCGGCCTGGCTACGACTCACCTCGGGAGCAGCCCCACTGCCCGTCTGGCTCCGACACAGGAGGATTAGTCCGGTCTCGGGGAAAGGCAAGCACCCAGTGCCAGTTTGCTGCCGCCTGCCGCTTCCAGCCCGCGGCTGCTGCTCTGGGCTCTGTGAGGAGCTCAGCGCCAGGCAAGGCTGGACCCGCTCTCACCTCACGTTTCTTCTACAGCTTTGCATCAGATGAGCCCTTCCTGAGCGCGCTGACTGATCTTCTGCCTTTTTTTTTTTGCATTTTAATAAGACTCTCATCCAGGCAAAGAGATTATAATGAGTTACACAAATCAAATTGTCAAGAACTGAAACACTATATATTCACAGTTGAAAGCCTGTATCTCAACAGGATGTTTTGTCTGCCCCATTCTTGATTCCTTTTTGGTTGGAAATGCAATTTCACTTTCTTCCTCATCTAGAAGTACCATGACTGGGCAAATACAGGCGAGTGGGCTGTATTCAAAAGGCAGTGCAGTCTGGAGTTTATGAATGAAGGAGACCCTTCTCCAATTCCAAACCATACCAAAAAAAAAAAAGAAAGTAAAAGGGACTTTTCATCTTTAAGAAACAACTAACAATTTAAAAGTGAATGTACAGCTTATTCACAGGGTGAGAAGGAAGGGAATCTTCCAACTGAATTTGCTTTACCTTGCAAATGGTTGAGGCAGCAAAGCATTTTCGGTCATTACCTCTCTGTCTTAAGCCCTGTTTCATCTTAAAAATAAATTAAGGAGCCAGAAAGCAGGAAGAAGACAAATGATAAATTTTTTACTTCTTGAGGGACTGAGTTGTTCTCCCTCCTACCACCATGACTGTGACCGTTGGTTTGTTCATCCATCCATCTGTCCTGCAGCACAAGAGTTGAGGTTTTATAGAGTTTTTTTCTCAGTCCTGCTCTGAGCTGGCATGGGAGAAGGCCGGTCTGAAGCGCTAGCGGCTGCTGTTCTTAATCGCTTCCTTTGCTGCAATGATCAGAGGAGTCAGGCTGGAGAGAGGCTTGGCTAATTTTAAAAATGGATGCTGCCCAAAGGAAAAAAAAAAAGAGAAACAAACCATTACTTTCCAAACTCAGTTACTCACAGGCTCAAGCGCTATTCCTCTGGTTACCAGGAATACGCAGAAATGGGACTGAGGGGACCACTGCACCTGCGTCTTCACGTCCAGTACCTTGCTATCACAGGCAAACATGGCTCATAATCCTATTAATCCATTTATCAAAGTGTCTTCAGCTTGCTGGGATTTTTGCCCTGCCAGCGCTCTGGGAATGCTGCTTGCTGTGCCAGGGCCTCGCTCCTTTCAGAGAACTCAGAATTCTTACTTTTTAAAGACGTGGGCTATTTTAAGTGTCAAAAAAAATGAAGGGCCTAAGCCGTTCTTCGGGGAACTCCAAGGAAATGTTTATCCCAGTAGTACGTAGGCCAACGTGTTGTTCCGAAGGCCACTGAGGTGCAGGTTTTCAGCACCAAGACAAGCAGGGAGACACGTGGCAGAGCACTGACGGACTCGGCTCGGGGTTGCAGTGAGAGCAGCAGTGTTGCCATCCCACCCCCTGACCCTCACGACTTCTTGTCTGCCGCAAAACCTGGCAGGAAATCTGTAGAAGTTCTTATCTCCTCGACCGTGCCGGGCAGCAAACGGAGCTGGGACAAGTCGCACTCAGCTGTCCCTGTTTCAGTGGCAGAAATCTCTAGAAATGGGGCTCAGTGGCAGAAACCTCCAAGAGTGGGCCCGGGTGGACAAGCGAGGTTTGCTCTGACGCTCCCAGTGAGCACCCCACAACCCCCTTCCTCCCCACAGCCAAATCTCCAACTGGTTTCACTGGGATCCCCACTGGTCGTCTCTCTGTGTGGGGTAGTCACCAACACGTTTTCAGGCCTCCGCACCTGCTGCCATTGCACTGCGGTTATTTTGCCACCACGTAAAACTGGATATTGTACCAAAATACAAAACAGGGCACAAAAATGATCAGAGGGCTGGAACACTTCTCCTGTGAGGACAGGCTGAGGGAGTTGGAGCTACTCAGTCTGGAGAAGAGAAGGCTCCGGGCAGACCTTCTAGGGGCCTTCCAGTGCTTAAAGGGAGCCTATAAATAAGACAAGGACAATGTTTTTAACAGGGCCTGGTGCAACAGGACAAGGCGTGATGGTTTTAAATGAGGAGGGGGTAGATTTAGACTAGGTAGAAGGAAGAAATTTTTTACAGTGAGGGTGGTAAAACACTGGACCAGGTTCCCCAGAGAGATGGTAGAGGCCCCATCGCTGGAAACATTTAAGGCCAGCTTGGACGAGGCTCTGAGCAACCTGACCTAGTGGAAGACGCCCCTGCTCACTGCAGCGGGACGAGATGACCTTTACAAGTCCCTTCCAACTCAACCCATTCTATGATTCTACTTATTTCTCACTCAGAAAGCACCAGGACTGGAGACTAATATGAGGGGGTTCTGATGCCTTCGAGTTTGGCTGATGTGGAAACGGCCGCGTGGCGCAGCTCTTCCGCTTGCGGCTGCTTCGCGGTTTTTACCTGCAGAAGTTCCTTGGCAGACCCTCGCCTGTCCACGTCCATCTCCAGGCAGCAGTTCAGAAAGTCGCGGAACACAGCGGACAGTCGCTCGGGGTTCTGCAGCTCTGGTGTCCCGTTCGTAGCTATCAGATACAGCGCCTACAGAAAAAGGAAACACAAGAGTCCACCCCTTTCTTTCATATCCACAACTGCTCATACAGACACATCGGTTTTTAAGGTTCAGTCTCCAGTGGCAGTTTCTTCCCTGGCAGCGGGTTAGAGATGAATTTTCTACACCAACAAAAAAAACCCCCAAACCCACAACTGATGCGGCCACAGCTATTCCAACATCAAAATGATCTTGCCTTGACAGCTGATTTCATTGGCTGACCTAGTTAGTATGAACTGCATCAGCAAAAGCACATTTTGCTTCTCCAAGTATCGACGTTGGCTTTATAGGCTATTTTAAAGAGTGAATTTGGTCTATCTGTACTATTTTAAAGGATTATTACATACAATGCATCTCTGCAGTGCTCACTGGTCCCTAAAGTACAGCTTCCACAAAACAAAGGCAGTCAAGTTTTTTTGCTCTGTTCTTGATAAAAATGGTAACCGCATGAATAAAAAACGGTAAATCCATCAGCTTATTCCTTGGATAAAGAAACATTTGGAACCTCATTTTTAACACAGACAAATGAGCTGCATGCACAAATGTATTACGAAGAAAATGTGTAACTGGGCAGACAGGAGCCACCCGCAACTATGTCTTTCAGCAGTCTCCAAATTCCAGATCAGCTTCACTTATGTGGTTAACAGAAAAACGTGGAATGGTCTAATCAGAAAAATTAGTAATTCCAGAGCTAAGGTAACCCTGTGCTAATTTTGATGCTCAAATAAATACATTAATGAGGTCTCCATCCCAAAAAATTGTCAGGAAGAAATGGTAGGCTTTGGCATTTGGGTTACCGAAAGCTCAGGCTTGGTGGCATGGAGAAAGTGGCTTGGACTATGGAAGAAATACGTTCACTAAGTATTTCAGCAAAAACGGAGAAGAAGCAGAACAGACTATGTTGCCTTTTAACTATAATCTACATGTTTCAAGCTGGATTCGCAGTGAGAAGAATTGGAGGGCAGGCCATCCCTCAAACCCACTGCTTTAGGAAAGTTTATTTAACGAAAGACAACATTCAATCTATTATGCTCCTTTCGTGTTTTCAGGTCACCTTCACAGGTGGAAGAGCCGGAACAACATAAAACCCAAAGCAAAGCATTATCGCAGAATCGGAAGTCTTATTCATCATAAATGTCCGACCGCTCACCTGAAAGCACGGTCACTCTGTGCACACAGGCCTGCTCAAACACTCATCTTTAACAACATCTAGCCTAAGCTAAGCTTAAGTTTCTTGAGCAAAGCCAAGGATGCTCGCTCCTGTGCAGCTGACTGCATTCATGCGGCGCAGTGAGTCTTCCCAATATTCCTCAGGCCAAGGGATTCTAACGTCAGTTTGAAAAACACGGGGTGAACATTATCCAATGTGGTTTACTTGTAACCAAGGTCTAACATGCTTTTGAACTATTCACACTTAAACTTGCAGAATATGACTAAAATAGAGAGTAATAATAGAAATAGGCCTAGGAGTCTCCCATAAAAACGTCTGCCATGATAATAACAGCTCTGCGCCGCTGGCATTTAAACGGACCGTGACCAAATTGACTTTGTTATTATCTTCTTAAATAAGAGGAAAATTTCCAAGCCTTAAAAGGCAAATGAACTTATCCTAGAGTCCAAACAATAAAAGCAAGCTTCTTTACTTTTCCCACAGCATAAATCACAAAATCAGTTTTATCCTGCCTGTCTGCAGCTGACCTCAGTCACCGGCCACAACGGGGAGCTGGCGTGCTGATTTCAGGTAAATTGTGTTGCCCGAGGGATGTTAATTCCCCTGCGGTAAAGGAATAGGGCACCCCTGTCAGCCTGGGGAATTTTATTCCAGCTACATCCACCTGACTGTGAAACAGGAGTGCCAGGACAAATCGAGCTCTTGTAGTTGCTCCTTTCTTGACAGAAGCGTGAATCGTGAGGAAGAGTCATCTTTAGCTAGGTACCGCACCTCTTAAATATTTCTATGACAACAGAAAAAAGTCGATGGGAAGCTGAAGTACCTTTTTATCGTGTATCTTTTGGTTTCCCATGATACAGCTGGCAGAGAAAAACAAGTACAGTACGAAGGAAATGAGCGTTTGCAGTAGCTGCAGAGCGGCAATGAGCTCATTAATTTGTTTAACATACCAAGAAACAAGAAAGCTTTCCATAGAATTGTAGCTGCAGTCTGTGAAAACGATATCCTAAAGTTATCCAGGCCACCCAGACACACGACAGAACAATATGCAGATGATTTAGAAGCCTGAAACTGCAGAAGATCCACAGCATTTGGAAAATATTCTATATGGTTTTGAGGAAAATCGACGCGCCATGCTTAATAAATGAAAAAGCAAACAGAGATGCTTAGGGTTTGGTATGTCGTGGGTTTTTTTTTAAACTGCAATCGGGGAGGTCCAACCTGCATTTCAAAAGATATTTAGCACACCAGTGTCTGTCCCTCAGGCCCTAGGCATATGCCTGATGGAAGAAAAATCACAGCGAGGGAAAACAAATATCCTCACACAAATATCCAGGATGCTTATGGCTGGAAAATGGCTCATTCCTGCGAGCTCTGCCTGGGCTGGAAAGAACCTGAGCAACACGAGACACGTTTGCTCTACACGTGGAAAACAAACTTGCTGTTAACTCTGTGACTGATGATCCTTTAATGCCTTTGTAATTTATGTATGTATTTAAATTAGTGTCACTAACCGACGCTCCTGCGTGCCTTCCATTATTACAACAATCATTCATAAAAATGAATGACCAACCTTTTGTCTTCAGGCTTTGCAGAATTCCCTGAATGTCATCTAAATGCGACTATTAACCTGACAATTAACTGTGTGCCATCAGCTAAAAACCTTACCTGTAAAAACAGGTCCTGCTTCTCAGCTCTCCTGTTTGGATGCAGCTGAGACCTCTCACTGAAGTCTCTGATTGCACATACAACGGCAGATGATGGATCCTGACCCTATCGAGGTTGATTTACCTTAGTAAAAGTAGCTGATAGCTGAGGAACTTCACGCTGTCCATCACAAGCTGTTCACTGTTCCTAGCTCAGGGGCAACAACCTCTGCAAAAGAGTCCAGGAAGCAAATACAGGTGGTACCAGCTTCAGATGCCTAATTTTAATCCACTACAAGTTCACGCAGACACACCTGAAGATGCCTTGAAGCTCTAAGTGTTCAAGTTGATCTTAACTCCAGCAGGAGAGGAGGCACATATGGAGAAAAGAAGCAGCTTGAGTCATGCGGGTAAGGGCAGGATCAGCTGAATGTGAATTTGGTCAGAGATAAAAATCCACTTCTCTCTCTAACAGTTGACCCAAGGCTTCTTGAGAAGCTGTAATCAACGCTCGAGGTAAAGGCAGCAGGGAATTTTCAGCATCCAGATGAGTAACGCTAATTCTCTTTGGCTTTGCTGCCTTATACAAGGCAAAGGCATCTTTTGCAAGGGTCTTCCATGGAAGCAAGGGGAATATGGGGTCCTCTCTTTGCAGGAAACTGAAGCGAAACTGGTGACGTGCGGAAGTCTCTGCTGGTAAAATCGGGCTGTGGTGACACAGGCCTACGGTGCACTCTACTTACTCAGCATCAGCCTGAACCCCAAACCTGTTTTTTTCTTATCTTAATCACGAGGTGGCTCCACACGCGTGCGCTGGGACCAAAAACCCCCGGGCACCTACCAAACCAAAAGTCTGCCAGGAAAACTCAAGAATTTTTTCTCAGTAAGACTGGCAAGACTGAAATTTGTGTAACTGTTGCATTTCTTTCTTAAGTGGCACGGCTCAGGGCGCTTCCTGACCATTCTGTTATTTCTTCTTTCAACCTGCAGTACAGAGTTCGGGTGCCAGCAACCAGAGAGCGCAGCCTTACCACTATGAGAAAAGCTAAAGGTCATGCTCTATTTTAATTCTAGCCTTAAGAAATATAATATATGCACATACACGGGTCAAAATTAATGTCCTATCAGGAATTAACTGTGCAGCATTTAACTCTGTTTCAGCTATCGGTCATGAGGTTTTATCTTGGCATACATTCCTCCGCTATTACACGTTCATTTGGTGTAAGAACTGGACATTTAATTTTAAGGAATTAGGATAAAACTGAAAACTTCAAAACATAAAAAAATCTATTAATTTCCTCAAGTATCTGTGCTAAAAAGATACTTTAAAAATATAAGTATTTAAGAAAAACACACTCTTTTACCACAAATCTTTTAGAAAAATAAAGGTAACAACGGCACTAGCTGAAAGGCTCAGGGAAGTAATTGGCACTGAACTAAGTCTGAAAAGGTTTCTCTGCCTGTGGATACAGCTGAAATATTTTTCATAAAAACTCCTGAACTGGAGAAACTTGCTGCTCGAAAATTCTTGTCGTTCAGAGGTACAACTCAAAGAGAGTTCAAAAACCTCCAGAGAAATTGCAAGCATCACTGAAGGCAAAAATGGCGCATACCTGAAGTGGCTACATGTCGCTTCTCTTGTGGCACAGGGTGCCCAAGGAGGCTGGGCATGCCCCATCCCTGGAGGTGTTCAAGGCCAGGTGGGATGGGCCTTGGAGCAACCTGGGCTGGTGGGAGAGAGGTATCCACAGCAAGGGGGGTTGGAACTAGATGATCTTCAAGGTGCCTTCCAACCTTAACCATTCTATTTGTAACCAAAGCGGCAGTATTTGCTGAAAGACTCCAGCGGCGTTTCCAGAATTGGGCCTTGGTGGCACTACCTCAAGCTGGTGTGACTGGGATTTTGTCTCACGGGGGACAAAACACGGGACAATTCGGAAAGACAGTGGTATGTGATTTTATTTGTGCCTTACCCTGAGAGGATTTTCATTAAGGTAAGGAGGTTCTCCTTCCACCATTTCTATTGCCATGATCCCAAGTGACCAGATGTCCACCTTGGGGCCGTACGCTTTTCTCGTCACCACTTCTGGTGCCATCCAGTAAGGAGTCCCGACCATTGTGCTCCGCTTACTCTGCTCAGGGGTGATCTGAGCACAGAAGCCAAAATCAGCTGAGGAGAAATAAAACCAAGTATTGTTAGAGCCAGCTTGAATTATGAAACCAAACAGAGGAAATCCCCACTACATGCCTGAGAACATGCTGCTGAATCGATCTGGAGGAGCTGCCACGCTGTAGCCAAGGAAATATTGAATTGGCCACTTAAGATAACCCTCAAGTTTCTTGCGGTGGCTTTTATACTCTTGAAGCTTTAGATTGTAACTCCTTCTGGAAGGGACATACACAAGTCTAAGCCACTCTTTACACCTTTTTCCTTCCTGTACCACCCTGCACGCTGGCATCACGCTCCTCGCCTGCAGCAGCGCTACCGTGGGCATCGCTTTTGGGTAACTGGCAGCCACTCAAAGGCAGCCTCACACCACATCCTGGGAACGCCGTGCCTGACCAAGGATACCTACTCAATTTGACAGATCCATCCATTCCGAGAAGAATATTGTCGCTTTTGATGTCTCTGTGAATCACTTGGTTTGAATGAAGGAAATCCAGAGCTTGCAGGCACTGATAGATAAAAAAGAAACGCGAGGGCAAAAATTAATGACCCGGTTTCACCACGTAAGGAAGGAAATGGCACTAAAAGACTTAATTTCTAGATGAATGGTGAGTAATGGCAGAATATTGGGCTGTCAAGAGGAATAGCTTGCTGCTTCAACACTATTAGAGTAATAACTTTCTAAATGAAGGCGTATTAGCTTTTGCGAGAGGAATGTCAATTATTGTTACAGACTCCCCCTGAAAACACAGACAGAACGACGGCTGCCGCAATCAGTGTGCTATCTCCATCCACATGCCAGACTAAAGAAAAAGCCAAAAAAGAAAAAGTCTCTCCTTTGGTACAAGGCAGATCACTTTCGGGCAGGAGGTTTCATCACAAAGATTTTACTGTTAGGCTCTGCCGCAGATTGGGAAATAGCACATCAGTCATTTTTCAGAAGCAAACACCATTTTGGGTGGAATGGTATCCTTTTAAGCTGAGGACTGTGATAAATGAGTCTCTATTTTTCTTTGCTGTTATTTTAAAACTCTGCCACCAGCATGTTTGCTTTTACAGGCAAGGAATGCAGTACAGACATGCTCCAGGCGAATGTTTAAAGAGGCAAAGTTGAGAATAGTAAAACTAAAAAAAAATAAATGAATAACAGTATGTAAGAGTGTAACCGCAGTGATACTGGCAGGCAGTTCACTTCAGATGCTGCTGCTTCTCCTCCATATTATAAAACCAAGAGAGAAACAAAGCTCTGAACATGAAATCACTCGGGTTCTTACCACCCGTTTAGAAGTACCATCCAGTCCAAGTAGTGGGAAGCACACGTGGGATCCCTTACCTCCCGACAGACCGCCGCGATCTGTCCCTCATCCATACAGGTCTCCGTAACAACGTCGGTTAGGGAGCCTCCAGCCAAGTATTCCATAACCACCCAGAGCTCATCACCCACTAGGTAGCTGAAAGAAGAAAAACAATGACATTGAGACAAATGCGCGCGGTTGAATTACCTTATGAAAAGGACTACAGTTGATTTTTGTTTCCAGGTCATTTCAAAACGAAGCCAGAATAAAATGAGCAGACATTCCTTCTAGGCTATACAGTACTGAGAATCTGCGCAGTCTAAACGAGGAAGGCACAGAAGTGAAATATTGGATGTCGTAGATAGCCAGCAAGTGAAAAATGCAGTCTAGTAACGGCAGAGATATATCTTAAACCAGGACATATCACATCATCTAGTTCATCATCTTAACACACAAATTCCGAGATTAACTCCAGGAACAAGGCAACACAACGTTCATAGCTGTCCACGGCAGGAGGGTGTGTACCACTGAAGACAGAAATTGGTCAACAGTTTGGAAAACCTTACATAAAATACATTCAGAAACAGGAAAAAACAATTTAAAAGCTGGCAAATTGCATGTTTCTGGAAACAAGAACCTAATCTTCCTGGCATCCACAGCAATGGAAAATAGTGGGAACAGCCCAAGGGAAAAATAGTTTCTATGATGATTTATCAGCGCTTGTCTTAAGGCACAAAAAATATGATCGATTTAAAAAAAATCTCTAGCAACAACAGAACAACATGGAGGTAGTGAACTTACAAGTTGTTGGTTTATTAAAATATGGCTGATCCAGGTTTTTGAAAAGTCTTCAAACTATATACGCCAGAAAAGATTAATGAGAAAATTCAATCCCCTCCCATGCATCATAAATGAGCAGACACGTAATGAAGAGGTCAGTCTTCCGCCAGTAACCAAAGGGATTTTTTTAATCTGTGCCTTGCAGTATGTAAATGAACATTCCTGTGATAAGACTAGAACAACTTACCTGTCTAAATAGTTAACAATATTGGGGTTCTTATTTTCCCTCATGACCAGGATTTCATTAATAATTAGTTCCTTTTTGGGCTGTTGTTGGAGATTCATTTGCTTTATGGCCACCTAAAATGACATTGAAGACCATTAACTCGAGCAGTCTGTTTGCAGGGGATCAGGACGCAAGTGGAGTCACTGTTTTTTGGAATGCTGTAGCAGAGCTCTGCCAAACTGAGCAACTCAGGTGGCAGCACCCTATTTCTCTGCTAGCTTGGGTGCTAGTTACAGGACACACATGGTTTTGCCTTGTAAAATCTGTAAAAACGGTCTTTAAACTATCAAGCACAAATCTCAAATGGTCTCAGTTTATGACCACTATTCTTATTCATGCATTTTTTGCAAGTGGAAAGTGATTTTGTTACTGTGAAACTAGATAAAAACAGCTGGCGGTACTTTGGCGCATATAGGATTTTTTATAGTTATTTCAGCAACTGCAGTTGTTCCTGACTTGATCGCATAACCAAAAGAAAACACGTACGTACACTACATATAAAATGCCATACTAAAAAGATCATTAAGGTTACACACAGGAAAAAACCCACAACCCTAGCGCTTCCTCACCTGGTAAATTTTGATTTGGCAACTCTAAGTAACATTCTTTAGCATAGTTTAGTTTTGCAATTATTTTCTGCGTTTAAAAAAAAATAATCCATAGTATGGTATTTTATGCTCAGGGTTCTAAGCAGGGCTCAGGGCTTTTAGATCCCTCGCAGACCTCTATCGAAGAGCAGTTACACAGCCCAGCGCTGCAGGTGAATGAGAAACTATCAGTAAGATTCAGACGTATTTGCTGTCAGCCAGAAACAATAAATCAGAACTTAAACCGCCCCAAAGGGCAATACGGGGAACCTGTGACCAGCCCTGAGGCCTTTCAGTATCACAGATCTTCGGATTTTACAGTTTGTATTGCTAACTGATCTATGGCCAGGTCCACAGGCAGATTTTACGCACTAAATGTATAAATTCAGATGGTATGTACAGACCAACATTCTCTCTGATGGCACAACTTCATGCACACTGGAGATTGAAGATAACAACAATTCCCAAACCGACACATTTACACTGGCAATCAAAATTATATAGTTTTTACCAGGCCCGAAAGCTTGCGGGGATTTCTTGACAGATTTCTCTCTATTCAGGAGCTGATGGAACACGGTACCAGGCTGGGACTAAAAATACTGTGGAGAGCACCAACCTGCTCTGGCAGCAGAGTAAGTAAAAAACCAATTCTCTTACAACTGGCCTTAAAATATCGGGGTGAAGCACTGATAGAGGGGAAAGCCCTGAGCAACACGTGCTGGGACTGCTGAGGCTTACCTCTTGTCCCGTGGCGATGTCGATTGCTGTGTAAACAGTTCCCGACGCCCTAGAAACAGAGCAGCAGCGAAGAAATGAGAAGCGGTTTTAGTCCCTGTGAGTGAGAGCGAGCCCAGATCCCAGATCTCTGCTGCCCGGAGCATTTATAAAAGGCCTTTGTTCACGCACTCCGGCAGCAGCGCACAGCCCGGCAGCCCTCCAGCCCTCAACCAGGCAGGGCATCCAGGAGAAAACTCAAGTCCGACACGAAGAAAAAGGGCTGGTGCAAATCTGAAATGTACGTATTTTAGTGCTAAATCACTAAATACTACGTTATTTCAGTTCAGACCTTACGAGAGGATGTCCACAAATATTAACCAATTTTATCCGGTTTTGGTTTGGTTTTTTTTTCTTTTTGGGTCTGTGGTTTTTTTTTTCCTTTTCCCTGGGAATGTAAAGTACAGTCTAGTTGTGCCTTCTCAAACGTCTTATTTGCATCTATCTGCAAAACTGAGGCGGCACCGCCCAGTCATGCTGAGAACCCTGAATGCACGTGACAGCCCTTTGAGGAAAGGATCTAGACACGGCTTTTTCCAGCGTGCAGGGAGACCCTTCTCCAGCCACCCTCAAAGTCACAGCTCGAGCATATATTGCTTCACACACAGATGGAGAACTATACAAAACAGATGATCCTTAAAAAGCTTCTTTGTGTGTCAAGAGCTGCTTCTGTTGGGCGCACCAGACATGGGTTCTAGGTTGTGCTTCTGTGACAGACCGAGGTTGTGCTGTTTAGAAATAAAGGACAAGCTCACCTGCAGACTAGACACTGTGGGGTTTTGTTTGCCACCTGCCTCTTCTTAAAAAGAAACAAAAAACCAAGGTTCTTCCCTTGTAACAATGTGATGGGCTGGAAAGGCCACCATCAGAGGAAAACCCTTTTGCGTGTAAAAGCAACCGTGGGCTTGTAAATCCTGATGAGGTTTCCTTCTGAGCTAAACCACAGGTTTATGCTGTTGTTGTTTAAGAAGGTCGTGCCTGCATGGGCAGGGAGGCAAGGGAGAGCCAGGGTGGGAATTCTGAGAAGCAGGAACACGTGTCCGGCAAGAGTCCCGCTGACTGAAAACGCCCAAATCGGTTTGCTCGTTTTCACACGATCCCTCGGCTTTTTTGTTTACCTGCAGGCTGAAATATTTCTGCAGCATTTTAATTCAACAGGCACCAGAGACTGTATGTCAGTGTTAAGAACAATGTTCTCATTGGGCACGCTATGTATTCTTTTAATATAAATGCAAATGCATTTTCCTATGACTAATTGTTGAGATTAATCCAATTTGTTTTCATAAAAAGCCAACACCATTTATTCAGACTTGCTAACACTGTGCTGTACCCTCCTGAGCAAAGTCCTGTCAGGGTTTATTTAAAAACAGCTATTTAAATTCAGATGCTTTTGGTATGCTCCAGGCCATCTGTGAGGAGTTTAGATAAAGGTGAGCAATTTAAATAAAGCTGTGAATTAATTGCAAGGGCTCTGTGATTCTGCGCTATGAACTTCTATTTCTGAGCAACTATCATTTCTCATCTGTATCTAACTTAAACGCTTCTGCAATATCTTGGTTTTAATGTGGCCAGGAGAGCACCAGGGCCCACAATTAGATCGGGGGCACTGCGATGCAGGCTGGTACCAGTTAAAAAAAACCAACCTGAAGCCAGGCTGCTCACAGCTCCGTATTAATTCACCTTTCCAGCAGGAGCTAACACTGCTTCAGCAAACACAGCCTCTTTACCAAGCACTAGCTAACTAGGTTTCCTCCGGTGTCAGCAGCATTTTCAGCCCTCAACTGCAGAAAGCCGACAAACCAGAGCTGCCCTGTTCTTCAGCACAAGCACTGCTGACGCTCGTTCACCGCGAAGCAGCTGTAAAATCATCGCGCTGTTTATTAACTCCCCAGCGGTACCAAGCCAGGACGTGCTACGTGCTGGTCAAGCTGCTTTTCCTTACGTAAGAAGCTGCTCTCCACCTGCAATCCTCTGAGCAGCCACGTCTCCTGCTGCCTTGCAGGGCTCTCACGAGCTGCCGCTACAAACCTGCTCCCTTCCCACACGACTGGCGCCTTTGGCAGGAGGGTACCCAGCTCCTTGCCAAGGCGGGCGGCTCAGGAACCGGCATCAACCAAGCACATCAGCACCGTCCGAGGCAGCGCATCTCGGCCCAGCCCTGCCGCATGTGCTATCCCCAGCCGTGCCGCCGAGTCTGGTTCCTCCAGACCATTCTGTTCGATTACCTTTGTGATGACTTTTTTTTTTCCTTTTAGGATCTTTGCCCATCACTGTAAACTGACCTGCGGCACTACAGGCGGGAGCTCGTTAGGGCAGCACCCTCACTCTTCTGTAAGAAGGACATGCAATCTTCAGGCTGTTACTACAAGCTGGAGGAAATCAGTTTAGATGTGTTTTTAGTCCACTCGCCTTTCCACAAGTTATTGAGGCACCTTTGCACAAGCTCACTCCTAGGACTGTCAAAATGAAAGATTGCGCGGGTGATGGTCGTATTCTCACGGTGACAGCAACAATCTGCCTCACACACATGTTTATTCTGACTCTCGCTTCTTCAGCTGACACTTATCTTGTGAGAGCTGGCACAGCTCTAAGTGTCCGCTGACATTTTACAAACAACAATAAGAACCAACGCTTTGGGTAGAAAGCAAGCCGGAATCTCAGAAAGGATTTTTTAGACAATGAATGGAGCAGAAACACCTTCCCACAAGTGTCCTACCAAACAGGATACATCTGTGATAAAGCCTGCCGCAGAAATATGTATCAGTTGTAGGTCAGCAACAAGCCACCCTGAGTTCAAACCTCAGAGACAGCGAAGGCAGAAAAAAAATCTCCTGATGTCAATAAATAGTTTCTGTCGTACACGGACAGCAGCGTGATCCTGGTGTTACACCGACGGTGCTGCCTCTCCTGGAATCACAACACAGCCAAGGAAATTTTGACTTAGCAGGGAGTCTGTCCGTATTTAAAATGCAAGGCAGGCACCTAATTTTGATGCAATTTCTTTTGGGTTTGCCTCCTCACATATTTCAAATCAATTCTGTTGGCAGTAGGCAAAGCTGGGTTTCAAAAGGGAATAGCTCAGTTTATTATTTTCAGTAAACAACTAAAACCTGCAGGATCCACGACTGGTCTCCTCTCAGGCAGATAAATCATCTCCTCATCAAGTACTTTGTGCGTCGACATTGTGTTTATTATTGAATTTTTGTTTTTTACTAACTCTGCTAGGAAAGAGAGCTTATTATTTAATCTCTTGGTTTCAATTTCTAAACTATGTGCTTATAACCCTGATCACCGAGTATTTTCCAAGCAAAACACTTGAAAGGAATGTTATTGAGAACTGTTATTTATCTGACACCTATCAGGTGGTAAGAAGCTCTTTTAGGCAATAAAGCTTTTTCTCCTTCCTTTTGCATGGCCATATTATCTTGAGACATACAAAAAATATTTACCCTAAGAAAATAAGCAAACAGGTGCCACACACTTCAGGGACAGCAGATCTTCCAGGTCCTGCTCCTTGCTGCAGACAAGACGTTGCCAGAATCGAGTTGCCTTTGATGATTTGTTCTAACCAGTTATAAATTCTGACCAGTACTGAGAAACAGGAAAATCTAAACCCAGTGTCTGAACATGTTTGGAGCTTGCCAGACTTCCCACTTGAGATTACACCAGCAAAACACCCGCCCGTGTCTCTGTATAAATAACTGTGATCGGACTTACCCTTGGCCAATTTTTTCAAATCGAGTGTATTTCTTCTTAGGATCTCCCACACTCACAATGCTCCCTGAAAGAAATGAAAAGGCTCATTTAAAAATGGAGATACCACCTTCCAGCTGTTCAGAAACTCAGCCTCACTGCCCAGGGGTAGGAGCCACTTGTAGTCAGTTGGGTAACAGCGACAACCCAGGCAGCTCCGCAGCACGGGTGGCATCTACAAAGATTCATTTTCTACCGCCCTTTGGAGAGTTACTTTGGCAGAAAACTTAACAACATGGAGAAACATTCACAGGAGACAGCAGAAAAGAGCAAGTGTCTGTTGTCTACAAACATTAATGAGAGCTGGAACAACAGAGCCTTTATCTTCTTAGGAATAATATAAAAAAAAATTTAATACTTCTGAAGATTAAATGCACCTTGGGTCCTGGAATCCATTTTTATGAACGGATGCCATTGTCAGAACAGCACGAACATTGCAAAGTGTTTCCAGGAGGAGATCTCAGCCTTTCACCAGTTTGCCAAAAGAATGCCTTTATGTTTTTAAAGAACGGCCGCACAAAAGATGCTGATAATGTCATGGGTGCAGGGGACAAGATTCTGAAGGTGGGACGGGATGGATGCTGCCGCCTCCCGGCAGCTCTGCGCTGCAGTGGCAGGAAGGCAGAGCCGGAACGGCCGGCACAGCGGAGCTCACAGGTCACTGAAAGCTAAATTTAAAGCATGAGAAGCTTGAGGCCTTCGTGCCTACTCAGAAGTGTAGGCAGTCCGAACGGGAAGGAAAGAAAGTGGTACTTAGGATACTGCGTTTGTGTCAAACGAGAGACAAAATCTGACACAGATTTAAAAAAACAATAGTGTTTTTTCCGGTCTGATAGTTTCCCGGATAAAATTCAAACATTGATGGCCAAGGTAGTGGCTCGAAGCAAAATGACTTCTGAAAACTTGGAACGTACAACACTGAAATTACTTTAAGAAGCTTAGTTCAGGAGGAAAGAGTTCCAATGTTTCGCAGCATATTTTGTTTGACTGATCTGGCAATATTCCTGCATCACAAATCCAAGCTTATCCTTATCTGTTCACCTGTGGATCCGCAACAAAACGAGGTGACGTGCCATTCACTACAAGTCGTAACAAACGCCTCGTTTCCTCGCCCAGGCCACTCCTCTGGAGCTGAGGGCTTCAGCGTCCAAGGGGACAGCTGACTGCATGCGTAGCCAGGAACCTGCTGCCAGCGCGGCAAGAAGACGGGGCATCAACACCACCTGGTACACCCCCTGCTAAACCGATTTTGCTGGCCTGGGCACGGTCGCTAATGGGAGCTGGAGGAGAAGAGGTTCCCGGCACGCCGGGAACACCAGCCAGCGCCCGCTGCTGAGCGGTGCCACCTCGCTGTGCCCGCCTGCAAGGGTTAACAGCAACTGGATCGCCTGCAGTCCAAGCTAAGGACGTAAATTTGATGGTTAATTTTTCATAGTTTCATCTCACTGAAATGTATAACGTAAAACAAAGCTTGCATTCTGCTTCTTTATAGTGGATCTCCACTATGAAATAACTCTTCAGTGAAAAAGAACACGACCCAGTGGACTCTGGGACTCCTTTTTAACCACCTGGAAGAAGGGATGTGAGGTGGGAAAGCGTCGCTCCTGCTCACGCCGCTGAGCTGAACCATCCCGCAGGCAGGGATCCCCATGAGACTCTGCAGCACTAAACCGAATGCTGCCGTAACCCAGAGCTGGGCTGGAAAACAGGAAAACCAGCGCGTGGTCGGTGCCTGGCCAGGTGCTATTTTCAGCTAGCTAATGGAACTGTGCATCTAGAGAACAGGTATCACTAGGCCATGCAGGTTTGCCTTAGAAAAGAATGAAGAAAAAGACTGCAGAGCAAATATTTTTTAAAAAAAGAATTTTCCAAATTTTCCGCTGATTTTGCAGTTCAGTTTTCTGGAGTTTTTCCTCAAAACGTGAGGAGCTGCTTTCATAACTTAGTTGTCTGTGGCTGGATTCCTGGATTCCCTTAAGCCAATCCATATCAAATAAAACACCATTAAAAAAAATCACCAAAGTGACTGGTATGCAGCTCCGCTTCGGAGAAGCACTCCTCACTCTGGACAGAAGATAAACATATCAGCTATTCTGATGTCTTTAAGCACTTTATCGAGTCCTAAATTAGGTGGATAAGAAAAAAAGAATTGGGCCATTTCTGTTTTATAATTACTGTGGAACATATTCACCATTTCATTATGGACAGACTTGTGTTTGATCTTATCTCAATATTACAGGCTTTACTCCCTAGTAAAACTTGGAATGAAAGGGGCTCTAAAATTCTTTTCAAGCAGAAAAGAATTATGAACGTAATTTGACATAAAAGGGGGCAGGGGACACCTTTCTAAAACTAGCATAAAATTGTCTGGAGGGGGAAAGTAGGCACGGTGGCGAAGTCGTACGCGTTAAACAAAAACAAAACAGAAAAAGGCAACCATCACGCACGCTTAAATGTAATTAGGCCAGGACTATAACAAAAGAGCATCACCCCCGTTTTCAGACAGCTTCATGAAAGCACAAAAAGATTTTCATTGTCCACATCACAATTTGCCCAAGGCAAGCCATCAGACCTTGCTCACTCGGTATCAAATTCTCAAGAAAGAAAAAGCACGAAGGCACATAAGGTTTCAACGATAAAACCCGCAATAACTCAAGGGCTCAGTCCTAATCTGGCAGACACGGAAGCCTGAATAAACGATACATATACTTATCGTTCATGTATGCAGGGTACCTGCAGATCACGCGGTGGAAGCCTGCCTCAAACATTTAGCCTGAGCTGAAGAAGCAATAATTCCTCCCTTTATAAGCTGACATATCTGCAGGTAAGTATCTGCTCTGGAATTTATTCCACTGTGCCCTCAGCTAAAGCTATTGAACTTAACCCTCGGATACTCCCTAATGGTGCTGAGATTCAGTTCCTTGTAGTCCTATCAACCTGCCAAGGGTGCAGAAAACTCGACGCAAGCCGCTGAAGTCCCACAGTCAAGGAAGGTTTCAGCCTCTGCGGTCGCAGCAGCCGCCAGCGGTAGGGCAGGTACGACAAAGAGGTTGGTCCAGCACAACAACGAGCGTCGACAACCTCTGTGAAGAAGCTACAGCCAGAGTGCAGCTCCCTGGCAAGCAGCTGCCCCCAATAAAGCCAGAACGTTACCTGCTTGGAGGTCAGACACAAGGAGGTTTGGATCAAGCCACTTTTTGTCCGTTAGTGGTAGGAGATGCGGAGTAAACTGGGCTGTTTTACAAACCCAGCCCATTTATTATCTCAGAACGCAGCGCTGGCAGCCGTTACGTGCAAGAAGCGGATTAAATTGGTTGTACTGCAGAATCGTGAAGGGCTTGATGTGTCTTCCCAGAGCATGATCTGCGCAGGGGTTTTTGGGCCAACCATTAGGATTCTAATAGTATTAATGGGCTGGGAATTAGCTCTGACAAAGTGCCACGTATCTGAGGAATATACGGTGGATGTGCTGGAAGCTGGCTTCTGAGAAATGCCTGCAGTGCAGTTTTACCTGATCACGCCACATAGATGCGTCTCTTTGACACATCTTTATAAGCACAAAGCTAAGAAATAAAATGAGGATTGTTACAAAAGTATTTGGAGTGGAGCAATGACACTGAGAATACCCACTCCTCGCTATCCATGGTGTCAAATGATGTTTTGTCAAAGGAATTCTGACAAAAAACATAGAATTATTAGGAAGATGAACTCTGACGTGTTAGAAGCAGTAGTACCAACAACAATTATAAAAGCAGAATATCTGGGGCAGGAGAGCTCCTTGAGGCTGAAGGAATCAGCTTAGTGGTGTAGCTGTCTACTGGTCAAAAAACCCAAACCAAACAAAAAAAAAAAACCAAACAAAAAAAGCCAAGATCCAACAGATTTCTGCAAAGTATTTTGGCTCCCATGACCGGTGAGAAGTCAGGCACCTAAAGAGAATTTAGGAACTCAAACATTCGGTTTAATTTGGCCATTAACACACAGGAGTTCACTGGGTCGTTCACTAGGTTACAGCCCTCTGCTCAACCAGAAGCAATCTCTGCTTTTGCCTTTAGCGTCGACGGAAGCTCTGGCAAATCCAGCGCTGTCACAGCCGCCCTCGGAGGCAGAAGGAATACCCAGAGTGCTCCCTCGCTTCCTCTAAGCACAAGAACAGTTGGTGTAGGGAGTCATCAGTGACTCCGTAACACCAAACTGAGAACAGTCAGAGAATCACAGAATTGTTGAGGCTGGGAAAGACCTCTTTGGATCCAGCCATCCAAGCAGTTCCTAATCCTGGCAAGCCCGTGCCCATACAGGTACAAACAAGCCCGAGACACGCGCGCAGTCCCCTGCTTTATCAGAGCAGAAACGCAGAATACGTACTCAGTTTCTCTAGGATCTCCTCATCTGTCATCTTGGATTTTTTTCGCTGCCGGTCTGTGTTTCTGTACAAGGTGTTTGTGTTTGAGTTTTCAGGCTGGGGAGTGGTGGCTTCTTTAGCGGGTGCTGGTGCAGCGGCAGGTTCAATTACAGAGCGGGTGTAAATCTGTGACAAGAAATTATTTTCGAGTCAGAAAGGTGGCTTGCAGGGATGTCCCCGAGATCATATTTCACATGAATATCTTTAGGAAGGCGCTGTCTGCCACATCCAGGGCTCTTAAAAGGTTTGGGTTTGCTGTCTACTTCTCAAACTGAATGGGCATAAACAAAAGGCTACTTTCACATGGGTTCATGGCTAGCTGCGTTTTCAATTTTCATTGATTTTCTGAAAGGTGATTAAAACAATAAATACATCTATCCAGGCCCTGAGAGCCTTGTTCCTTGATGCTCTTGTGTTTGCAGGGGTACCAAAATGGCTCTACATGTACCTAAGTGTCTGAATATAAGCAGGGAGCATTTCCCTTTTCTGACCCCGACTGTCCAACTGACTTTCTGAGTGTTTTGAGCTTTAGGAGGTGGCCATTAGGAACTGAGTCCCAGTCCTTCACAGACCCAGCTTCTCCGCACAACACATGGCTGCGCAGCATCCATCTCGTTAAAAGTCTAGTGTGAGCTGTTCATTTACTTATACAGCCTGTGGAGAGGGACAGGTACCTCCAGGGGAGGTTTTTCCTGCGTATCCTGGTGTGAACTGCATCTGATGACCGCTCTCTCCACCAATGACCCGAAGCCTACAAAGACACTGTGAACAAAATTGCTCGCAGTCACGCCAGTGCCATTAAAAAGCACAACGCTGCCTCTCGTTTAAGGGAAATCCATGGTCCCTACCAGAATCACGGGCAACTCAGGACTAAATGTGAAAATTCCAACCAGATTTTCCTGGTGTCAGTGGCTTGGCTGAAGCACTGTCATTGCAGGACTCCAGCCTTCAGAGTCTTCATCCACGACTGCCAAGTGCTGTGTGATCAGAAACACGCAGCTCGGAATCCCACTGAAGACAGCGCTTACTGAAAGCTGGGACTTACGGATTTCGTGTGTTCAGGCCGTGGTGCGATAACAGGGGGAGGTTCATTGTCGTCTTCCTCTTCTTCATCATCTTCATCCTCTTCTTCAGAAACTGAGGGAGCTAGCGGGGGTTCTGATGCTGTTTTTGTGCTCTGCGGACAAACAGACAGTAGTGACAGTCATCATTTCGGCACTTGGGAGGTTTGAGAATTACAGACAAGTTCAGTCTGCTGAGGCAGCACAAACCCACCCAGACAGTCCCACAGGCGTCAGATCTAAGTGACACAGGGCACTGTACACCGTCAAGGTTACGAGGGAGCGTGCTGCTTTGTCAAGCCATCTCGGCGTTTTTTGGTTTTGCTAAAAACAACTAAATCGCTCCCGCGCTTCGTCAAAGTCTTATTTCATAAAATGCAGCGCTTGAACGTTAACGCAAGAAATCACATCGAGGTGCTGGTTAATTGCTTTGGCAATTGTGTCTACAGAAACGGTACCAGTTAATTAAGCTAACAGGTGTCTACCGGCTAGGTTAATTAACACACTTCAACGTGCAAAGCCTCCTTCGTCATCTTGCTGGCAACCTGGGTCTGCAGAGCAAGGCTATTTGACTCTTTGCAATTTTACCTGCGCGGTGATCACACCGCCCGTTTCCACAGCGCGGCGGAAAGGCGAGGGAAGCCTGGCCGAGCAGCTGTCTACACGTAAACTGACGCCTACAGTGCAGATATTTAAAATTTGGTGAGTTTAACTCCCCACTTCCAGCAGTCCCAGCTGCTGCTCAGAGGCAGCTGTGCCCGTATGCACTGGAAAAGCTGTCGGGAAGGCTTACTGTGCGTGCTCTGTCGAACCCCAAACTGCCTTTTAAAGTGTGTTTTTATTAAAGCTAGCAGAAGTGGCATCACCTGAAAATCGGATGTGTCAATACTCAAAGATTATTTTACTTTCATTACACACACTCTCCGCTGTGTAACCAGGAACCTCAAATTAAGTCGCTTCGCACTTGAAAATAAAGACCAAATCCCCATTCAGTCGTTCGCTATTTAATGCACTAACATTAACACTAATAAATCTGGTCAATATTAATGTGGATGTCATGACTACATCGCTGGGATTGCTACGGCAATCCAGTATTAATTAGAGCGGGTGATTACTTAAAACTTTCTTGCAATGGTTTCAGTGAGCTACATATCAATTACTACCTTATTTATATTCAGCTACATATCCAGCTGTGCTAAGGATAAATCATAAAATTTAATAGAAATGGATTCTAAGTTGTTAAAACTAAATTAAAATGGGCTAATTAGACAGTAGTGCATATTGTTGCAAATTACTTATTCCACCGCTAAGAACAGCAAGCAATCTTCTGTCGGCCAAACCAGACTTTCATCTATTTAAAAGTTCTTAAACAGAACGTTAGAAAACAGCTGGTGATGCCTTTTCTGCTGCTGCAAAGACACTACATTTTATGCACATTTATGTACATTTTACGTACTTTTTTTTCAGCCGACAAGGCTGGCACTCTACCACAGCCTGCTCCACGATTTTTAAATGCTATGAAAGGAAAAGGCGACCGGAACACTCACCGAAGGATGGGCTTCTATGTATCCATGGGCGCTTTTATCTGCAACGGGCAAGGGAAAATTAACCAGATGCTGCCATAGAACTGCCTGCTGTGGGGAATCCCACAGAACAAGTAAATCCAAACAGAGGGTATTTTTCTTTCACAACATCCCTCCAGTAGCAAGAGTTATTTTACATAGCAAGCAAGGTAACAGGACAATATACTAGGGTGGGTTGTTTTTTTTTCCTGCGCTTTCTTCTGTCTATTTTTTGCCCTGTTTTGCCAATAAATAGAATAAACAGAAATTTGGTTCAAAAGATGCAAATTGTTCTTTAAAAGCCAATACTTCTATTCTGCCCACGAGCTGAAGCAGCTTTTTGGTTTTGGTTTGTTTTTTTTCCTTTTAATAAACTGCATGCATTGATTCTCTTCAGCCAAAAGCTTCCCCCCCTTAGCTGTGGCAGCTCTATTCTGACGTAGCGCAGCCCCAGCTCCTGAGTTCAGGGGCACACACTACCCGTTTTTGCATTTCGTCACAAAAGCAATTGCTATTTTAGCCAACATTAAGGGTCAAGTTAGACAGTCCCAATCTTTTAATTACGGAACTCGGGAAAGAAGATGCTTTCCCTCAACAGAAGAGAAATGTTAGCAGATTCTGGAGATAACCAGAGTTTTTAGAAAGACTTCTGAGAAGCTCTCCCAGTCTGAACTGCGGAAGTGCTACCGGTTGAAGCAGCAAACTGAGGAAATTACAGACTATCACGTGCAGGGAACTCAATCACTGCAGCGTAAATTCCAAATGGTGTCTGCGCCCTGTTGGACAGAGACACCCCTTATTAGCTGAAGGTGTTGACATAAGCGTTACCGAACTAATGGGATCTTAATTGTGCTTTCCTTTAAAAATCGACTCAGTTACAAGGAATAGCAAAAGATACGAAAGCCAGACAGGCTGCACTTAGGAAAAACTTTCGCTTACTTGCTAGATGTGTCACTAGTCAGTTTGTCTAGCAAAAAAAAAAAGGAAAGAATGGGCCAAAGAAAAAAAAAACCTGCAGCACAGACTTGCTACCTCATTTTTGCAGCCCTACGCCACAATTCTGCAGACTGGACACAACCAAGGGACAAATGCCTAAATCATGAGGATCTGCTCGGAATGAGCGTGCTACGGAGAGTGCTCTGGGCACTGACGCCTTCCTTCTCATCCTCTGCGGCAACGCTCCTCTCACATCACACCAGCAGTCGTTCTGGATCTGCTTGTGGATGTGGTGAGTTGACCCCGGCTGGACACCAGGGGCCCACCAGAGCTTCTCTGTCCCTGTCCTTCCTCAGTTGGACACAGGAGAGAAAAATACGACGACGGGCTTGTAGGTTGAGATAAGGGCAGGGAGATCACTCAGCAATTATCATCATGGGCAAAACAGACAGGATTTGGGGAAATTAGTTTAATTTAGTGCCCATCAAATCAGAGTAAGGTAATCAGAAATAAAACCAAATCTTAAAAACATCTTGCTCCAACTCCTCCCTTCTTTCCAGGCTTAACTTCATCCCCAACTTCCCTAACTTCTCCCCCTGGGCAGTGCAGGGGGATGGGGAATGGGGGTTGTGGCCAGTTCATCACATGTTGTCTCTGCCGCTTCTTCCTCCTCACACTCTTCCTCTTGCTCCAGCACGGGGCTCCTCCCATGGGAGACAGTTCTCCACCAACTCCTCTGTTGTGAATCCTTCCACGGGCTGCAATTCTTCACAAACTGCTCCAGCGTGGGTCCTTTCCATGGGGTCACAAGTCCTGCCAGAAGCCCAGGCCAGCTCTTCACAGGGTCACAGCCTCCTCTGGGCATCCACCTGCTCTGGTGTGAGATCCTCTGTGGGCTGCAGGTGGGTATCTGCGCCACCATGGACTTCCACGGGCTGCAGAAGCACAGCCTGCCTCACCATGGTCTTCATCACGGGCTGCAGAGGAATCTCTCCTCCGGAGCACCTCCTCCTCCTCCTTCTTCGCTGGTCTCCGTGTCTGCAGGGTTGTTTCTCTCACACATTTTAACTCCTCCTGTCTGGCTGCTGTTGCGCAGCAGTTTTTCACCCTTTTAAAAATACATTACCCCAGAGGGGCTACCACCACCACTGATGGCCTTGGCCAGTGGTGGGTCCACCTTGGAGCCGGCCGGCGTTGGCTCGATGGGGCATAGGGGAAGCTTCTGGCAGCTTCTCACAGAAGACACCCCCCTAGAACCCCCCTACCACAACCTTGCCCTGCAAATACAGTGAATTTATGCATAACAACCTGATCTTCTCTACAGCTAAGGCCAAAAAATCCTTGAAAATTGTCCTCCATCAAAAAGTATCACAAAAAAACCCTCACTGTCCATAACCTGTTGCTCAACAGATCCAAGAGTAAGTCATAAAATACACAAAAGAAGAACACCCTGGACCTCAATCTGAACACTGCCAAGGAATGAGGATGCAAAGAAACAAAAGTAAACTAATGCTCCTGATTAAAAAAAACCCTAATAATTGTTCCATCTAGCATCTTATTTCATTTTAAATACAAGCGGCAAACAAAAATTAAAAATCAGTTTCAATGACATTTAGGGGACAAAAGGAGAAAGATATTTCATCTCAGGGGCATCCTACAAAGTGGAAATTTTTTACGGTTGCTTCTTGACCACTTGAACGTCGAACTTCAGTCTGACTCGTTTTGGGGCCCGACATTGTCCTCTTTGCAGCGAGATGTCAACTTACCTCCTGACGTAAAGCTCATGTATTTCTGGTTGTTAACTGTTTCTTTGGAATCGTAAAATTTGAGAACATCTAGGACAGCTTGTGGGTTCTTCTTCTGCTCCAGTTTTGTGATGTTGGAGGTCTGTAGTAGCCTGGCCCATTGCTCCGGAATGCCCTGTAGACATCAAGTGGAAAGAATGTGGATTTAGAATATTTAACAGCTGCAGCCTCACAGATCTTTTTTACCAAGATCCCATGCTGCCTGCAAGATTACTTTCAGAAATTTTGATTGACACTTTACAATTAAAATTAGGAGCTTATACATCAGATGCAATCATTCTCTTCTCTATGAAAATACAGAGCCAAAACCAGGATCCAACTTCAAAAAGAAAAGAAAGTTATGACTGTGATAGGAAAAAAAGTGCATGAAACTCATCTTTAAATCAACTCTGCTCTTCCATGGAATAATGATTTAAGGATTAGCTTGTTTTCCTGGTGATTCAGTGCAGACATAACAAGACTATTCTATATTTGTGGACAACACAGTGTATTTTAGGAGCTTTACACTGGATTTTTAATGCTTAGTAACGCAAACACGTTTGGCTGAAATGATCACTGCTCTCTGATTCAAAGGTAAACCCCACCCTGATAGAATTAATTTTCAGCATAGCAGGGAATGCTGCGGGGTTAAGAATCTGCACTGAAATGCTCTAAATCGTAACGCTGACTTGTACCACTGCTGCTAAGGATGTCTCTTTTTTTCGACCTCCTGCAGATTCTCTGCTGTAACTATACAGAAACCAGCGACTCCGAAAACAGGTTGAGAGCGCCAAAGCCTTGCACGAATCCTCGGACATCTTACAAGGGAGGGTGGCATTTGAAAAAAAAAAATCGATCCAATTGCTGAAAGCCGCAGCTCCGCATTGAGATTATATCGATGAAAGATTGCTTTAAATATCCAGTATAATTTCCTAAATTCGAAAGCCTGGAATTTTCCCCATTTACTGCACAGCCAACATCTACCAGGGCTTTACTGAACGAAAAACTACGCCTGAAGGACATTTAAACTCAGCCTCGGTGCCACCCCAGCCTAGGCAAAACGCTTTAATGCAGCGTCTCCCTACGTTCTCCACAAAAACAATGTGTGACATGGGCCTCCAAAGTTTAGGATTAATGAAAAAAAAAAGTGGGATAAGCCAAGCAACAAATCTACTGCACACACATGGACCTGCTGCTGCTGCAGTGCTATGACATCTCAAAGAAGCATTGGGATGCAAGAATTCTTTTGGGCCTGTGACGCACCTCTGGGAGCTTCCCTGTGCACATCTGTGAGCCATAGAGATCTGGCTGTAATGGACGTAAATAAAGAAAGAAAAGAAAGTTAAAACAGAATGTGGGACAACTCAGAAGGTGGTAGGAGGAAACCGATGGGCCGGAATGGGCAAGTCCCATCTCAAATGGGAGTTATGAGGCAGGTACCAAAGAGATTAGGTGATGGGCAGGTTTCGGGAAGGCAGGCTTAGGGAAACAGAAAAATCACAACTGTTCCAAAGTTTGGAAGCATCATTCCCCCTCCTCTGTTTTTTTCAACCCCTCATAAAAATACATTACTGAGGATTAACAGCAAGCGACGGGAAAAATTACCTGTGGTTTTTGGTTTGGGGGATTTTTTGGCTAAAAAAATGAAATAACAGAGAAAGATCGGGGTTTTTGCTGTTTGTCTAGTTTTGAAAGCCAGGTTGGTGTGTTTCAGTGGCTCTAACACAAGTTTTTCCCAATGGTTTTCCAGCCCCAAGATCACAATTGGCCAGTGCATGAGTCAACAAAGCTGGTCCAACTCAGATTTCACACTGGGAGGTTGCAAATTGTCATAACGCAAAGAATCTACGTGTGTCAGACTGAAAATCAGGACAATTCTAAAGAAATGCTTGACTGGATTAATGAGGAGCAACTTCTTTAGATCTACAGCCACAACTTTCTCCCACTTGCTAATGGCATAACCTTGAAACTTTAAAAGTTTGGTGCGTGACCACATTTTGCTCCAGACTGGGACCAGGAAACTGTGTCAAAAACGCCCTCCCCAAAGCCCTGCAAACCACGCTCCTTCCTCCATTCAGAAAATTCTTCAAAAAAAGAAAGAAAAAAAAAAAGTCAACATAAAGCTCTAGCAGCATGCTCCCACCCAACAGCTTCCAACCAATTTTCTTTGGAGCTTTAAAAGTCCGACTTCTTTAGCAAATGTGGTTGCTCCAAGCACAGTGAAATGGAGTTTTATGGTCATGAGCAATGACCCAGCCTGAAAGGTGAAGCTCGGGAGCCCATGCAGCTTTGATTTGAGATGCAACCACCAGCAATCAGGGAACGCAGCTCGGGGAGGGGACCGCTGGGTGTCAGAAAACGGCCCGATGCATCGCACGAAACCAGCGGGGCAGACGCTATCGGCGTGACAAGTGTAATAATTCGAAATGGAAAAAACCCCACTCAAATATCTGCATGTTTACCGGACATTCCCGCAGCACTTCCAAACTTTTGAAAGAGACAGACAGCGTGATCACCGGGCAGTGGGGATACCGGCACACGGCACGGCTCGTGGCAGCCCCTCCGGCAGGACACACTTACCACACCACTGCTCAGCTGATACACGGGTTGTATCCAGGGTGGGACAAATCAAACGTGCCTAACGTAACGCAGGATGTCACGCTCTGACTGACGCTGTGCTCCAGGAGGGACTGAAGCGGTAAGTCCTGCGCTGGCAAGCGGCACGGGGGAGGTCCCCTGTCCCTTCGGTTTGGTTTGACTCAGTTAGAGCCTTCCTGAGCTGCAGCGCTGCGCTTAGAATCATAGAATAGTTTCAGCTGGAAGAGACCTAGAAGATGATCGAGTCCAGCCTTTGTCCCAGCCCTATCAACCCACTAATCCAGGTCCCCCAACGCAACATCCACCCGTCTCTTAAACCCCTCCAGGGACGGTGACACAGCCTCCTCCCTGGGCAGCCCGTGCCACCAGCCGACAGCCCTTTCAGTAGGGAACTTCTTCCTAATATCTAACCTGAACCTCCCCTGGTGCAATTTAAATCCATTTCGCCTCGTCCTGTCACTCTCCACAAGGGAGAACAGACCAACCCCTGCCTCTCTACACCATCCCTTCAGGTAGTGGTAGAGAGCGATGAGGTCTCCCCTCAATCTCCTCCAGGCTCAACAGCCCCAGACCCCTCAGCCTTTCCTCATACGACTTGTGTTCTAAGCCCTTTCCCAGCTTCCACGCTTTAGGAACAACTATTATTGTAGAAAAACTGTGTAACTGCGAAACAGCAGCCACCTAATGTCCATTATTAAAAAAGAAATTGTGCCATAGCGGTAAAGCTGGGCACACTTTGCCATATGCCACCACTCTGTGGTACAAGAGGTCAGGACCTGTGCTGGTGGCATCTGACACCAAAAAACCTCTGATGCTAGAGACTGTTTTTACACACTGGATAAGAGTAACATTCAAACTGATCCAATCCGTGATCTCTGAAGTTCTGATAAAGAGTGGTTGTGCTTAGAAGTGTGTCAACCTCGATGTCCCTCCCTTTTGCTCCAGCTGGCAGGGACGTGAAACTATCTGGGACCTTCCTCACCACCAGTCTGTGAGAGAACCTACCAGTGTGACCCATCGTAACGGGAAAGTTGCTGATCAAAACTGACCACGTCTGGGCTTTTTACACGAGCATTTAATCAAGCCTTAAGGGTTTGGCACAGAATAAATTCTGAAGTAAGATTCTGTAAGTGACATCTATTTCAAAAAGGCTAATTAACTCGTCTGCATATTTTAAACATAGCTGTATTTCCTAATTATTAAGGATAATTCAATTTCACTACTCCTTTGAAGACACGCTGTCATTAAATGGGTATTTTTTTCTCTTCTATTGTTATTGTTGTTATTACTCTTGCTACTGCTACATATAGAAAGTTTCCAGCTTTCTGAAATGTTTTTGACAAACAGTAAGCAGCGATCCAAGTAAAAAAAACCCTTGATGATATCGCATTTAGGGCTCAAATTCTCAAAATGAACCGTCCTTTGTGCAGGCAAATGATTTGTCCCATCCTGTTTGGTGTATGCAGCCAGTCTGGACGAGCACACGTCACAGTTTGACGCAGGGTGAGAACACAGTCTGACCGCTCAGCTCACAGCGCACTGCTGCTGGCACGGGGACTCGCTAACGTCCCCTCTCACCGCCACAGCTCCAACAAATGCCAAGTTACTGCCACCTCAGCTTTAAGGATTAATGGTTTCACCACCTAACTAGCAGTCTTGAGAGAAAAGGGTCTGAAGCCACCTACACGCTTTCGAGGAGCTCCCACCAGACGCGTTTTTCCCAACGCTTCATGCACTTTGTCGTGACAGAAGTCGAAAAAGCCGACTGCTCAGTCAGTTATGATCAATGCATAATGGCCAAAAAAAGTTTCCGATCACCTAGTGTATGGATGTGCTTTGAAGGGTATTAACTCAAAATGAACAGATTCCCGCAACGCTGCCACTTTCTGGGTGTCTCCGAGGGCTGTCTGCAGAGCAGCTGGACTTTGTGCTTTTTGCTTTTTACAGCAAAATGTACACGACACATGCTCGTGGGGGCTTTTTTTTTGTAGGTTTTTCCAAAGATGCTGAATAACCAACCCCTGTAGCAGCTCACGGGATGGATAAAAGCATACACCTACATTCTTCCTATTTTTCATTTTCCACAGACACTCTGCTGACAATCCTTGGAGAGAAAAAAAAAAAAAAGCAGCCTGAATCAGAAGTGAAACACTCCAAATCTTAAGCCCAACAAATAAAAGTCTCTTTCTTCACAGCCTGGCTGCTGTCATCTGACGTTTTCTGGCAACAGGAGGTTATTTTACCATCCAGAAACCAGAAGCTCTGGTAAGCACACAACAACACAGCGGTTACTTACTGTGAATTCTCCCGTGACGGCATCAAATCCCACGTGAATGGTGTGTTCGAAGTCTGAAGGAAGAGAGATCTCAGGACGCTCTTTCTCCTTCTTCTTGTTGGCTAGAGGCAAAACGTTAACACGCACTTATTTTCCGCACAGCAGAAACTTTCACAATCAGGTGTACTTGAAATAGTATTTTAGAGGTGGAAAACAAATCAATTAACATTCACCTTACTTGGCAAACAGACCCAAGCTAATACAGCACCAGCCTGTCAAGCCCTGTTTGGGAAGGTCTAGAAGGTGTTATTTCTTTTTTTCTTTCTTCCAGTCAGTGTCACAGCTGCCAAAACAAGCTCTTCATGAAGTCGCCTTCTTAACGATCTCTAACCAGGATGGTTTCTATTATCAGTTCTTTTTTTTATCAGGGTTTTGTATCTAGCAACTAATTCCTGTTTGACTTTGCCCCCTGCAGATGTAAAACACCCAGGACACACGCATTCACGTCTTTCTGCATGTGTGTCTTTTCTCCAACATGCTTTGAACCCGTCAAACTCAACCAAATCAGAGAGGAGAGTGTCTTTTATTTTAATATAACCAGGTTCCTACAAGTTCTGTGAAAGCAGGCAGCTCAGGAGAAGACGAAAATCCTATTTCCATCTTTCCTCCGAGTTAAAGGCTGAAGCAGCAGCTCGGTGTTAGAAACCCCAGAGCCTGCACAGCGATAAAATCCCCAAAATGCCATGAGAAAAGCTTCATCTGAGCTCTCAATGAACTAAGACACAAACCCCGGGCTTTACTAGTCACCAGGAATTCTTTGATTTTAAATTACTGCACCAGTATTCACAGAGTGAGGAGCATCTCAGTGAAGGAGACAGACTTGGAAGTCAGTCCATCCGCCTACGTTTCTCATCCCCCTCCCATCTTAAGACCTTTTGAAAGTAGCATCCCTTGCAGTCATCCATCTCCTGTGCTTTTTACTAGCGACAAATCTCACTTCAGCCCAGTTTTATCGACCCTAATAAAGAAGGAACAGAATAAAGGCTGAGAGAAGCTGCCTTCACTCCGATGGATCAAGAATTCACGTTCGACAGAGATTTTCTCTGAAAAATGGTGACAATAATGCCAGTTCTGGACAACTCCCAAACACTCAGATAAACACAGCGTAAACTCGCATTCAAACATCTATCCTGCTGGCAGGTACCTGAAATATTTGGCTTCCCTAGAGAACCAGAACGCTGCAAGACTAACTACTACGTGATTGAATAAGACAGTCCAGAGCTATCTGTAGGATCTTCTCCAGTGCCAGTGGTTTATCTGTAACAGCCGAGAGGGGAACTGCCATTCTACCCAACCCATTTGTCATTTTGGTGGAAAAATGACAAGCTAATGGCTGGAACAGAACAAATATTACAGAGCTCGTTTGCAGTAGGAGAGAGTTATTAACACAAACTCAGGAAACAGGGCACGCGGAAAGCGCTCATTAGAATCCAAAAAAAAAGCCACATCATGTCACATCTTTACAGAAAGCGTTCTGCACCCCAGGATCCCACCTTACTTCTTAACAGTTTCATGTGTCTCTGGTTTACGTTTGCCCCATCGCGGTCCCGAGCAAGCTTGCTCTGTGGATCTGATGTGGCTTCACACCAAGAGTTGTGAGAAGCCCAGAGACACACGAGAGGTTTGCGCCTCTCACAATGGGACTCTACGTCAGGATCTCTAAAGGCCAATGTATTATTATTTATTAATACAACATGAAAATAAATACACGCGCAGCAAAACCAGCTGGATCCAAAGACAATTTTGCGCGTGGAAAAGCAAGCGCCCCCTCTTCTACCAATATCAACCAGGACGCAGCTTTGCAAAATCTATTTTCTGCCACATCGGTCTTCTAACACAAAGCATCACTATGCCCAGGGACTTTTTATTAATATTCTCCTTCGGTGTTTCAGTATTATGCTTGTCACACCTCGGGTCTCATCCCAAGGCTGAACTCACCACGGAGCAGCACCTTCCCAGCCTGGCTCTGTCTTTGCTCACACACGGTAAATCCACGAGGCCTCTGCTCTTCCTAATTAGAGTATTTTGGATGTTTCTAATCCTTTCTCTGCGATATTGCATTTATCCTCATTAAATAATTAACTGTCACCTTTTCTCTGTACTGCAATCTTAACTGATGAGTTATTTTCATTCAGCAAAGATGGCAGCAATATATCAAATACAAACGCAAAGGCTTTTCCCCCTTCTTTTATCTCTAAGGTGGTGATGTTTAATTTTTCGGATAGAAGTTGCCAGTTATGTCATCTCTGTTCTGCATGTATAACTTTTTATTGCAGATAATAAAACTGGCTTCTCCTACCTCATCACTTGCAAGCAAATGCAGTGAAAATTAGATTTGAAGGATCATCAAACCCACTTCAAAGCAACACTCAAATTTAGAAAGGAAATAAGGCGTTACAAAAAATGTTCCATCGAAAGCAACACTTGTCCATTCCAGGCCTCATTCCAAAATATTTGACTTGTCTGCTTCACAGATCTTTGCCTACGAGACTGTGGCTATTAACACCTATGGTCCAAATACTGATAAACCTTAAAATAAATACACATTTAAACATCTCCTTGCAAGACACTCACCCCACCCCAGTCTAAAAACTGTGACATTTCTGGCTCAGATCGCTGCTGTTTCACATAAGCTGGCAAAAGGACGTGAGGAGGCCAATGACTGACTGGATTCAAGGGTTTTACACGGGACATTTCTACTCGATTTTCTTACAACCGTCCCTCACAACACGTTCCTGCTGCCCAGCACTCAGCCACGACAGCCACCCACACTGTCCCAGCAACTCTGACAGATTAAAAGAGAGCAAGGAAAGAGTTTTCTGTCTTCCATAGCCTGCATCATCATCATCATCACCGTTATGTTAAAAGAGCAGTGGTCTGGCAGGAAAACTCAGCTAAGTGACAGCTCTTCTCCAGAGAGGGAGGAAGTTTATGACTTCAGGCTTACGCCCTCCTGTTTGCTTACGCCCTCCTGTTTGCTCTCCTCCTCTTCATCTCATGCTACTCTTTCCTCCATCCCCTCCCCCTTCCATTGTCACTCACACTGTCCTCCCATCCTCCTTCCATCTCTGCTCCTCCTGTCCTTCCCCACAGCTTTGCTCTTTTCCTTCTCCTCCATCAATCCTAACCCCGCTGGGTTTTCCTCCTTCCCTCTGTTCTTGTTTTTCTCTAAAGGACTGAAGGCCAGACTCCGCTCCCATCCGCAGCGAAGTGACACCCACGTGACACTGGAAACTCATTTCAGTTGTGTGCCTTGGCTTCCTGCCCTCAGAAGACAGGGTGCATCACCCCAGAAGATGAGGATGAGAGGAACTACCCCAAGGTGTTCAAAAATGTGCAGATGTGGCACTTCAGGATGTAATTTAGTGGTCATGGGAATGCTGGGTTGACGGTTGGACTAGATGATCTTAGAGGTTTTTTCCAACCTTATTGATTCCAAGGAACACAAGGAGGTGAGGAGCCGTCAGTGGCTTCCTAAAACAAGGTTTACAACACAGACAGGCTCAAACCTTGACTGAAAACCCTACACTCCGACAGAGGAACAACTGTGAAAGATTCCCATTCCGCGAGCACAGCACTCCTGGTGCCCTGGAGAGAACATCAAGTAGCACATCCAGCCCACCCATCCCGCGAGGAAAATACCTTTTGAAAGGTATTTCCATACATCATTATAAAGTAATCTCTCTAAAGATTAGAAAAGCTTAGTCAAAACTTTGTAACACCAACGGTAGGGACAAGCAGCAGTCGTTCTGGTTTCGAAAGAACAGCAACTTTCACTACAAAACTGGGAAGGCGTCCATGAGGGAAGTTTGCAGTTCTTCCAAGGAACCTCACAAAAAAGATTCAACAGCTTATGGACACGTCACTGTGCCATGTGACATGCTACTTGTTCGTTGGGTTTTGTTAATCAGTTGGGTTTCCACACAAGGTACCGAATATTATTCTATTTACATTCAAAAATAGCATTTTTCTCTCTTCAGTACATAGTGGGAACGCCCATAAACAAGTCAGTAGAAAGCCCTCTAGCAGAGGTGGAGGACAGCTTTGTTGATCTCGGGGTTTGTCCAGTCATTCCGGATATTATCCAGGTGATTATCAAAATCTACGAGCGACTCAAAAGGCAACGAAGTTCCTGCAGGTTTGGGCAGAAACACGGTGCCACAGTGTCTTCTTCACGTTCTGTTTGCCAGCACCAGTGGTGGACTATTAAATCTACAGCTGGGACGCTGCAAAGCGCTGCAGCAGACGAGAGCAGCCCATCCATCACTTTGTGTTTTATAAGCAGGGCTCTCAAAAACATGTCGCTGAGTCTGTGAAGCCCACACAGGCCAGCTGATACCCTGACCCACAAACCAAGCCCGAGATGAAACCACCTCAAGGGGCTTGGCCAGCCAGGCTGAACTTCTTCCATTTATTATTTCGCCCAACAAAATTAAGCTATAAATCTGAAGCTTTCTTTCTCTCACATCACATTTAAAATCACGATACTTGCACGTTTCCTAAGACTGCTCTGACTGGCGGTGAACTATATTTTTAATGTCACTGATCATTTCCAGCAGGGATTGTTTCTGCATCTCCCCGCTTCTGCAGGCATTTCACACAGCACCTCCTACTTCAGAAATATTCCCTCAGAGAAGGATAATGCCATCCTGCTGGCAGCCAGGGGAAGAAGCGACCCAGCCCCTTGCAGGAATTAAACGAGCTGGGAGAGATTTTAATTTTGGCCTTTAAAAAGAATCAATTGAAAATTAATTTTCTTCCTTGAAGGGGACTTTTTGTGAAGCGCTCTGCCGAGTGAACCAGCCAGGTCTTCCTGAGGAATTGCCCCATCCGCTCACAGGCTTTGCATGAGAAGAGTCATCAGGACTGACCCTGACCAAGGCTAAAACTGTGCCTTCCACTGCTGTCTGGAAGGAGTTTTGGCCTCACACTACCTCCAACTGCTGTGGAAGAGACTCGTGAAAGGGGCAGCCAAGCAGCGCGGCTGAGCTGGAGCTGTGAGAGAAGGAGCTCTGAGCTCTCCCCGGAGGAAGAGCGAAGCACACGGAAGGCAGAATCCCCCTGGAAATCTGCCTGGAATTCGTGCTGCTGACCACAACCCTTTGAGCCCAGTGTTTCAGTCCGTCTCACTGCCCACTTATCTAGACTGTACTCCACCAGTTGGTCTGCGAGGACACCCCGGGAGAACACCTTACCAAAGCAGAAATTAATTCTGTAAATACACAAGTTCCCAACGCACTCCCTTCTGCAAACGGTTTTCAAATAATGGAACTGAAATACGTGTTTAAAAAAACCTCTCTTGCTCTAACCACACCCAGCAGGTTTCAAACCAAGCCATTCTACATCCATCCTCACTGCAGAGGTCACATGCAAAAAATGCCTTGCTCCTGTTCCTGGCATATAAGTGCTTTTTTTAAAAAAAAACAACCCCAAAGGTGTCAGGCACATTGCCTCCTCACTTCTGCAAACATATTTTCAAAAGCACGCAATGCCACCTCTGTTTTTCTTGCAAACGCGAAGCAAAATCCAAAGGAAAGGGTTCCCCAGCTTAATGATAAAGTTATTTTTAAAAGGCAAGTCGCACGATGTGTGCGTGTTATACTGGCTTTTCGTAGACAAGAAAGCAACCAACTGACCACCTCCTCCTCTTCTGAAACATCTTACTAGAGCAACTGCAACAGAGAGCTTTGGAAGGACTTCACCACGCTCTGCAACTTAAAACAGAAAGAAAACGGCGGCGGAAAGTAAACGCGGCACTCAACGACCGACCGCGGCAGAGCCACCCGCTCGCGCTGCTGATACTTTACTTTTATCCCCTCCTCCTGGGAAGATGGAGCGGAGCCGGGCTTTCTTGTTCTTCTCCTCGGGGGCCATGGGGAGCGGTTTGGAGCTGTGGTTTAGCGCTGAAGAGTCGCGGTTGTTGCTGTTCATTCTCAACGGCGGGGCTGGAGGTTTCTCTTCAATATCCAGACTATCGGACATCTTCAGCAGCCCTCACAGCCTCCTGTAAAAAAGCAGAATAAAAAAAACTCAACCCTGTCAAGTCAGGATGCTGGTGTCCTGGGGAGGAAAGAGGACAAGGAAAGCCTTCTGGTGGAATAGGAAAGCCTCTCTATCAGAAGGTGGCTCTGAATAAGGTTACTGCCCGGCGCTAGAAATAAACGCAGTGGCCAATTCCTAAAAATCACAGAATCACTCAGGTTGGAAAAGATCCTTAGGATCATCGAGTCCAACCAGTCGCCGTGTTACCAGTAAAATAAAGCGCTTTTTTTTAATCCCCGTTGAAGGGTTTTTCTATGTTTTTATTTCCATTTTTTCCTGTAGTTGTTTACAATGTAAATTTTCGTCTAAAACCAGATTTCCAAAGTAAAATTTAAACCATTTCCTGAAATTCCCCGGCATCACAGCAAAGCAGTGGGGTGCTTGGCGGGGGGATACGGACAGCAAGCATCAAGATCTCTGTGCCCTCCCCATTCTGCACTTGGGGAGGTTTTAGTTAGGGGAGTGTGGGACTTTAAAAGGAATGACCTTCCCAAAGGAAATTCATTCAGAAACACCAATTAAAAAAAAGCAAAACACTATCTCCCTTGCACATAAAAATGAGCCATATGTTCGCTTTCAGAATCAAGCAAAACGTGAGCAGAAAAATGATGATATCCTAAAAACAGTTCAAGCCTTCCTCTTTCTGACTGTTACCTGCAGGGCTGTTTGTGGCGCAGCTCTGAAGAACGGCACCACAAAGCGCCAGGTGTGGCTGCTCAGCAAGGACTGGCCAGTGTAGGGATGATTAAAGAAAAAAAAAATACTTAGAAATTCTTACAAAACTTTTTTAAGTTGGGAAAACAGAAGGCAGGTAAGACTTTTCAAATTCCCGATCTGTCCAGTGTAGTTTAAACATTTCAAATTCAAGTCTGGCTTAAGCAGCTGGTTTAGCAAACAAGCAGCACTTGGTAAAACAAACTATTTCAAGACCTGAAAACAGAGCATGATTTCCGACAGCTCAGGTGTGATGTGGGCTATACTGAGCATTTTTAAAGGTTACAATTCCACAGGCACCTTGCCTTCCAATCCCCTAAAATCAACAGGGCTTCTTTAACAGAAGGCACGTGCAAGCCCCTGAGCACAGGCTCTGGATCTCTCCTTGTTCTTACAGCCTCCGAGTTATTGCGGTCATCAGCTACTCTCTTAAATTTAAACTGATGTGACTTATGTTTTTCAGCTGGGGAAGTCGGAGGGTTGGGTGTTTGGGTTTTTTTCAGTAGTACCAGCCAAACCTGGTGACCGTCACTTACGCCAAGAGGTCCTGAAGCTCAGCTGGTAAGAGCCTTTGGTCAGGTAAAGCGGCCGTGGTTGAGGGGTTTGGGGATTGTTCAGTGGTTGTTTTTTAAAAACTGAGGTTAACAGAATCACAGAACTGTTGAGGCTGGAAAAGACTTCTGAGATCATCAAGTCCAGCCTATGACCCAACACTATCACACGGGCCAGACCACATTTTCACAAATGCATTTATTCTGATACTGCTGGAATTCTGCCAGGATTTCCAGCTGATATATGACTAGGAGACAGCCAAACCCACATTGCCTTAACTGACAATGTCTTCCATGTAAAACATTAAATGACCAACTGAAACATTTGGAGACATTCACTCTAGAGTGTTTTTCACGATGTGGGCATTTTACTCTTTGCTACCATTTTCAAATTACCACACATCAAACGATCGCTCTTCTTTTTTTAATTACTTGACTTACATTTTTAATTTCATCTAAACGAGATCCCAAAATGCCAGATCTGTTATTCAAAGCATCTGCCCATCAACAAGAACAATAAACGAAAATATCCCACCACATCCCTGTTCTGCATTGGTCACTGAGTCCACAAAGTGGGGGTTCCTGAACATCTGGATCCCCAAAAGATTCCAGGGACCCACCCCAGGTTGAAAACCCCAGCCCTCTCCTTAGCAGACAGAGCATGAAGCAGGAGATCCTGGAGATCTTGATTCATAAACGCACACTTACAGATGTCACGGGCCCCAGCTGCTCACCTCCATGTATGAGTGCCTTTCCCAGTTGACTTCCTCAACTGGTTTGTGTTAAATTAGTGATCTGAGCTATTCTGGCATATTTTACCTGCAGCAAACAACTGCTCTGCTGGGACATCACTATAGTGTCCACCAGCCAAAGAGGATGTTCACCAGCCTGGAGAAGAGGAGGCTGAGGGGAGACCTTGTCGCTCTCTACAGCTCCCTGAAAGGAGGTTGTAGCAAGGTGAGGGTTGGCCTCTTCTCCCAAATAACAAGTAATAGGATGAGAAATGGGCTCTAAGTTGCCCCAGGGGAGGTTTAGGTTGGGTATTTGGAAAAATTTCTTCACCGAAATGGTTGTCAGGCTCTGCCCCAGGCTGCCCAGGGCAGTGGCGGAGTCCCCATCCCTGGAGGGATGTAAAAGCCGTGGAGACGTGGTGCTCAGGGACACGGGTTGGTGGTGGACCTGGCACTGCCGGGTTAACGGTTGGACTCGAAGATCTTGCAGCTCTTTTCCAACCTGAATGCCCCTGTGACTGCAGCAGACCAAGGTCCCCGCCATGAGCCTGGTCCCCACCAGAGGGCTCTGGCCACCCAGCCCAGACCTGCTGGGAGACCTGCTCTGGCCATGGAGGCCCAGGGTCCACCCTGCCCTGGGAACACGTAGGCAGGCAATAACCCGCTCCGTGTCACCCAGTACCAGCGATAACTGTGATAACAGAGAAATTGCCCAGGCTGGGGCTCGCGCTGACCTACCTTCCAAGCGCAGCCTAACCTACTGACCTAGAGAACCAAACGCTTCTGCAGATTTAGCTCAAACAGTTAACACTACTAATCTTTGTGATTCCTGCCCTGAAACGCAGGAGGTTTTCCAGTAATGAGGGGGGAAAAAAAAAAAGAAAGAAAAAAGAGCCAGTGATGAAAACTACTGCAAGGTAGCGTGTTATCCTGGTGAAGGGAAAGTGCTCGATGCCCCGGTATTTCTGCACAAGGGCTTACGGAGACACCTGGACACCCCTCCTTGTCCCACCACCAGTTCTCCCAGCCTAGCTCGCAGCAACAGAGGTTTTCATTTTCTCCCTAACCCACCTCCAAATACTTTTCCAGTGCCAAAGGCAGCCTTCGCTCCCCGAGCTGCTTGGCGTGAGGCTGAAGCAGAAGCAACCGAGATACTTTTTCAGCTCGTTTTGGAAAGCAAGACGGATATTCTGTGAAGTCCATTACAGGACACAAAGTTTCAGCTGTCCCTCAGAATGGGACAACTGTATCTGCTACTGTATCTATTTGTAAACAATGCCAGTTTGCTGAAATAGGTCCTCCCATGGGATTTCATTCCACAAAGAATACTATTAACGGTTTCTGGCCCAATTTGCCTATGATGTAATTATTTCCAAGATTTTGAAAGGAACACTATATTTTGTTCAGAGCTGTTTCAGGCTCGGTTTCAAGAACTGGACAAAGCTCTTTTATTCACTTCTAAACCAGCAAAAAAAAAAAAAAAGGCAAAAGAAGGAAAAAAAAGAAAAAAAGGAAGATAGCCTGAAAGGTTTAACGGTCGGTATTAACTTTCTAAAGCTGGTCTAAATGAAAACTAAAGCAAATCGCAAGGCAATACACATCAAGAGACTTACAATTTACGGTTTTCCTGAGCAGAGCCCATCTGCTCTTCGATTCATTCGAATTTTGAGATTTTCCATGTACCGCGGCATCACAGCAAAAGAACATTCACTACCACATGACGCTTCGGATTTTAAGTGCTTTGTACGCCAACCTTAACTTAGAGAAAAACCTGTAAAGAACAGAGGGCCAGCAAGACCCATTCAGCTCAGGAACTTCTCAGGTTTGCATTGCAGAGAAGTGTCAACAGTTAAGCTCTATCCTGAGGCCAGGTTTTTCTGCTGTACTAACAAGTCCTTGGTCCTGCTAGTCTTGATCTGCATAAGAAGGTGGTTTTACCTTCTGTCTACTGGAAGTGACTATGCTATATCCATATATTTGGTCAAACAGTCAAAAATTCAGGTGCCCTCTCTCTTTTCTCTTTTCTTTTTTTAGGGTTTTGTTGGGCCTTTTTTGTGGTTATTGTTTTAATAAAAGGATACTGATAAGATTGAAGGTCGAAAGGCTGGAACGCAAAGAAGTCACTTCTTTATTTATTCTTCCCAAAGAAATTACTCAAAGCAAACCCCTCAACAAGACTAAGAAAAAAAGCCCTCTCCAATTCCTACCTGCAACAGAATTGCAGATTCTAGGAGAATAATGCTGAAATAACATATTCTATGCCCAAAGGATTGCAAAACCCACAGGGCTCTGAAGGGCAGGGAGCAGTTCCAGGCTCTCTGAGCTAACATTCCCCAGCCCTCGCAAGCGCAGGGACACATTGGTTTGCACTCCCATCACGCTTTTTGGATTCCTCCCGCAGCCCTGAGTGCCAGAGAGCAAATTTTTTTTAACAAAGCAGAACTGAGATTGACAGCTCGGGTTGTCACCAGGAACAGCTTTTGGGAGAGGATGGGGTGCACGATCTTCTTCAGCTCCGTCCTCGTGAGTGCAACCAAGGCAGCGCTTGTAATGGTTTGAAAAGAAATTCCGAAGGTAACAGCACCCATGGAGAGGAGAGATACCCAGGAACTACCTGCTTCCAGAGAAAATTCCTTTCAACGCCTGTTGGCTTTACGGAAGCCTTTAGAAAAACAGGCTGTTGAACCAAAACCTGAAAGCTCATTTGAGCGTGTGAGCTAGGGCTTCACAGCCAAGCGGCAAAAGCTGAAATCAAATTCTCAGCCAAATCTTCTCCACAACTATTAAAAGGTTATAGATGGTGGTCCAACAGCCCTTTAGCCCCACCTCTTCCAGTCACCAGTTTTGACAAACTCTGAGTCATGGAGAAGCTGAATGCTGTGTGTTTAATCTCCTGCTTCGCAAAAAGCCTTTCTTTTTTAATATTTTTGTGTCTAGTTCCTGC